GGGAACTTTTTGTTTGAATATGATGTGACAGTATCGAGATCCATCCGATTTAATTTTTTTCCAATTTTTCTGAACCTTGTTCTTTTGTCAAAGTTCAGGATAATTAGAACGAAGATAGACATAAAAGTTAGCGTCTCAGAAGGCAATGATTCAGTCGATGTACATTTCTTCAGTTATTTTTAATTCAATCGCATATAGCTGGACCACATTTAAGTATATATATTTTAACGACAACAAACCAATTTTCACATAAAATATGTGTTGTTTATTTTGAAATCCATGATAGATCTCTTGCACATCTGCTATTGAGATATCTGTAAATTAAATTTTTCTAAATTCTAGATAAAATAGTTATTACGAAAGATTTTATATTTTGTACAATAGAGTTTCTTTCTTTTTTGTATTAACATGGATTTTATAATTAATAAATGTTATCCCTTTTTTTATTGTGCAACAAATACATATTTACTGTAAACCAAATATTTTAATTGTTTAATATTATCTTTATATATAAGAAATATGCTGATGTTAAATAACAAAAAAACCGTATGTTTTTCTTTTCTTATTGTTCATTTTTCTTTTTCAATTTTTTCCATATGATTTGTTAAATTTTTGATTATCATCAAAACAAATATTTATGAGTAGTGTTGAGAACACGAGTCATTTGTGCAATTAAACCATTATTTATATTAATAGTCATATGTCTTGTTATTGAACATGATCATGCTTCGTACCAATAAAAGAAAAACTTAATAAAAATTCATGATTGAAAAGATTTAGTAGGAATAGACGTTAAATTAGCAAAAAGTAATGAATGATGATATTGTCATTGTTCAAGGTATGGGTAGGGATAAGAGATTGAATTCGAAACAAAGACCAACAATCACACCCTATCGTATTTTGCTTACATTTTCTTAACATCTGTACAAAACTGATATGGACTGAAAATTCTAAATTAATTTTTTTGATAGAAAAAAAAATTTAAAGTCAAGAATCGATGAGCCATCAAATGAAGAAGATTCTTCAAAATTCACTGGATTTTTTCGCATGAATATTACATGATTTCGTTCAATTTTTGACGCTCTTTCTGAAGCACTAGTTAATATTGAGACTCATTGGATTCTTCATTTTAAAATGATAATGGTTGAATTGTATGACATATAAATGAAAATTATTTGATATAGAGATACATTTTCGTCTGCATGCAGTTTTACCTGTGAGGTTTAACAGAAAAAAAGTGTTATAATTGTCAAGCGAAACTCGCTTATTATTGTGTACATGATAAAAATATAACAGCTGCATACAGATGATTAGTTAAGCACTTCTACACCTACAAATTTCCAAGAAAAAGAAGAGAAACACTTTATTAATGATAAACAAAAGCACATAAAAAGTAAGAAAATGTATGTTGAACAAAAAAAACAAAGAGAGAGAAGTCTACGAAAAATTGAAATAAACCATACAAAAGACTTGTATGAGAATAAATACCCGTTGTCATACACCAAAGTACAGTTTTCTGTTCGTATATAAATGAAGCACTATAAAAAAAACTGTGCACTATATAACCTTTTCACTGACAAGAAAGCGGATGAAAGTATAGAAAAACGAAGAGAACAACACCAAACGAATAATTAACGAGAAGTTGAAGTAATTAATCGAATTTTATATTTATGATCAAGTGCATTTAAGAACATGAGAAGTGAAAACATCAAAAATTTAACTCAAGACTCTGTTTAGAATCATTCATAAAGAACATAGGAAGCTTACTTGTTCAAATTTATTGCACTTTTTTTTAAAATGAAATAACAATTTATTAAATGAACATATATGAATATTAAACAACATCGAACACACATTTCATAAACAAAAATATAATCTATTGCAATGTTTTTGTTATGTAAATACTTGGCGTTTTAATTAACACCAACATAGTAAGGGTATAAAAAAAAGAAGAAAAGCAAACAATGAATTTCAATAATAGCGCAATCTTCAAGAATTTCAACACTATATTCATATTCAATTCGTTTTCTATGTCAAAATTATATATAAAATAAACTAGGCTTCAAAAATTCTTGAATAGTTCTGTGAAAAAAAGAGTATATATTCAGTGTCTGAGCGTCGAAAATTGTTTGATCCTCTCTCTCTCTTTCTCCAAATTTCTACCTTCTGTACCTGACTGTCTTCTATGACTTATATCTTATCGTCTGGTTAGACAGTAATATTGAAAAAACCACAGATAATCAAGATACAAAAAAGCACTCATGCGACAACTGACTAAAGGTCGTCTACTTGCATTTGATGATTTGAATCGATGTATTGAACATATAATGACTGAATTGATAATAAAACGAGTATTTCTTATTGTTTCAAATACATTTGGTCAAAGTATTGTACCAATTATATATGAATTACCATCTATACAAGCGAGTTACATATATGTAGTAATCGAATGGTAGTAGAATCATGGACGGAACCAGAATTTAAAATCTCTGGTATATTCACAGAAAAACAACCATTATTAAGTCAGCTTTGTCACGATGTTAGAGCATATAATACAGATGCAGATTTCGGCCTCGCAGGTGTGTACTTTCCTAATTTCATTAAGGTGTCCTGATTTTCCTGCTTTTGACTGAAAATCCTGATTTTTCAAGATGTATCTCTGTAAGACCACATATACGTCATTTTGATGTTTTATTTTGTTATACTCAACGTTTCTTAAACATTTTATGGAAATATTTGTTGAATATTTTCTATAAAAAGAAAGATGGTAGTCAAATTTTTATTTTGTCCATTTTTTTCTTATAATCACTTTAAGAATCGATTATTTCGAATTAATTGGTTTTTGGAAGCAGCTATTTTATCATTAGTGATTATCATCAGTACTTCGGCGGTATTTATATCATACAGTTTACGACCGTGCGTAGCTGCATTAAATCTTGTATTCCCTTATTCTAACATTTTAGTTGATTTACTAAAGTTTTCTTGTAAACGCTTTTATTCGTTTATCTGTAACATGGTTGTTTTATATGTGCAAAGAACAGGGATATGAAGAAGAGGAAAAGTAGCAGAGAGGGGAAGGAAGCATGAAGCAGGGAAATGGTTTAAGTGCCGAAAAGATAGTTATAGAACCTTAAAGACTGCGAAAATGTGGATTTTTCCTTTTTTTTACGGCTATTTTCCTGATAAAAATGCGATTTTGACTAGAAAAAAATGAGACTCCAATAGTAAAGGATATCTCCTTCCATAAGCCACGTATCTGAGGAAAAGAAAGCGTATATGTTGTAGGCAAAATTGAGATTCAGGCAAATTTTAAATTTGTCTAGGCAAAAGTCAAATTCTAGTTTTGCCAAGGCAAAATTAGAATGCAACTGAAAATAAATTCACATAATCAAAACAATTAAAACTGGTTAGAATATTTTTTTATTTAACAATATTTCTTCATTAAACAAAACAATATTCAAGGCAAAACATATTAATCTATTGGTAGAACTTACGATTGTAAGGGGCAAGTGCGCTACAAAACAATGTTCGTGTAAAAAATGAGAGGTTTCCTTTCGACAAAATATCATTGAAAGCGAGATGATTGCACAAATATGGATGAATAGATTAATATGTTTTGCCTTGAAAATTGTTTAGTTTAATGAAGAAATATTGTTGAATAAAAAAATATTCTACGGAGTTTTAATTGTTTTGATTATGTGAATTTATTTTCAGTCGCATTCTAATTTTGCCTAGGCAAATTTAAAATTTGCCTGAATCTCAATATCGCCTATAACAGATACACAATGCATAATTAGAGATAGCGAACGAAAAGGAAAAAGCAGAACTCGAAGCATGCATTCGGCGAAATATAATCTAGTAATTTCAATGAACTATCATCGATTGACATACTTTTGTGCAGCTTTCATTCTGAACAATAGCACTATGATAAGACTTAAAATGTCCTGATTTTAATCGAAATTCCTGTTTTTTGTCTAAAATGTGTCTGGACCTATTTTCCTGATTTTCAGACATAGACCGCTGTGACCCCTGTATTGCTCATGTGAAGAAAAAGGTTAAAAACTGTACTAAAACAGTGAAAGTATCTGCTAGATGACGATTAGTGTTAGTCCTAGTACGAAAAATAGTGTTTGTGTAGGATACCATATCACGGAGATGAGTCATTTTAATTTACCAATGTTTTCAATAGAGCCTACTTAATGATGCAATATTTCGTCCAAAAAAGACCTAATTATCACTTTCTAAATCTTTCTTGTTAAAGCAAATAGTTAATATTGCGCATACGATTAGTATTTACTGCATTCTGTTTCTCCATTACGCGTGTCATCTTACCTTTTTGTTCGACAAGTGCGAAACAGAATGCAAAGTATGAGTCATGCTGCAGGGCTCGGGTATATATATATATATACCTTAACATTTAACTGTATGTCAAAGCATTTTTCTCAATATCTATTTCGAAGGTTTATACCAATACTTATTATTCTACAGCCATTCAAGTCCTACATTGAATAATTGAAAATACGTAAGTTGAATATGATATAAAAGCAAATTTATAATTGTGAATTCTTGTTATTACTTTTCCCTCAAATATTAATTCTTGACTTCTTCTTGAATTTCCATGAGTCTTTAGCCAATTCTTGGATCTATCTAGAGTTCAGAGTATAGTCTTTTAAACAATAACTTTAATTTATCAACATAATTCAAAAATCTACTAGTTTTCTGTATTCCAACATTAGCAAAATATGAAGCCCAGATGATATTGACTTCTTGAATGTTCCATATGCTTTGGATCGAATGATGGCGACATCTTACTAGAGATAAAAGAATTCAGTAAGAGCGAGAAAATCAGATGTAGGCAATGGCTGAATACTAAAATCGATAATGAAGGTCATAATAATTTTTATCTTATGAAATACTCTAAAAACATTTGTCATCAATGTGTAATTTTCTTTTTTTTTTTTGAAATTTAGTAAATCTTAGCTGACAATATAATTTAATCAATGATTACACCGGATCATATTCCATTTGTTGTAAATTTGCAAGCGAAACATGCTACTCATTTAGAAATAGTTGGTGGAAAAGGAGCAAATTTAGCAATTTTATTTCAAAGAGGTTTCAATGTTCCTGATGCCTTCATCGTAACAACAAATGCATTTGATTATGTATTTAATGATGAACAAACAAAAGGTGTTCTATCGATCATAGATGAAGTTAATGTTGATAATATAAAAGAATTAGAAGATGTCAGTAATACGATTAAACAAGCAATTTGTAATATAAATTTATCAAGTGACATGATTAATTTAATAATAGATCATTATTATAAACTTTGTGAAAAAATTGATAATATGAATATTCATGTTGCTGTTCGAAGTAGTGCTACAGCTGAAGATTTACCTGATAATTCATTTGCTGGACAACAAGATACTTATTTACATGTAGGAAGAGAAAATTTAATTGATAAAATAAAAGAATGTTGGGCATCATTATTTACAGCTCGAGCAATATCATATAGAAAAAAATCCAATATTGATCATAAAATTGTAAAACTTGCTGTTGTTGTTCAAGCAATGATTTCTAGTGAAGTATCTGGTGTTGCATTTACTGCAAATCCAATAACAGGTTTAAGAAATGAAGTTGTAATTGATTCAACATATGGTTTAGGTGAAGCTTTAGTATCAGGTCTTGTAACACCAGATCATTATGAAATACTATTTGATAATTATGAAAATGCTGAAATATGCGTAAAAAATATTGGTAAAAAAGGTATCCATATTATTGGTAAATCAGATGGTGGTACTGAAACATTAGTTACTATGGATAATAATAAAAAAATTGAAGCATTATCTGATCAATATATCATTCAACTTGCAAAACTAGCTAAACAAGTTGAAAAAAGTTATAATTATCAACCACAAGACTTAGAATGGAGTTTTAGTAATGAAAAATTATATATTCTACAAGCTAGACCTATAACAACTTTATTTCTAATACCAAAACATGCATATGGACAATCAGGTTTAAGATGTATGATGTCATTTGGTACAGTTCAAGGATTTCTGAAACCAATGACACCTTTAGGTCAAAGTTCAATACGTACTATACTCAATAGTTACTACAGAGCAATACATGTTGATAGAAGTACTTCAATTGAAGATGATATATCTTCAGATCCATTACGACATCCTACATTTAAATCAGCATCAAATCGTCTTTGGATTGATATTACTGATACACTAACATCACCAGCTGTGCGGTTTTGTGATTTATCAACGGTTGATACTGGCATGAGTAAAATTATCGATTATATAATTCGTTCAAAGTTGTTTCCAGTAAAATCAATATTTTCATCATTAATAACATATTTATTTTTGTTATTCTTTTTTATTTCTGTATTTTTAAAAACAATACGAAATTTTATATTTCCTCATTATGGAAAAAAAATATTTATGGATGCATTAGAAAAATATCATCAATTTATTGATAAAGGATTTGAAGATCAAAATAATCAGAGTTTTACTGATTGTGTGAATCATTTTCAAAATATTTTATCAGCCTTACCACTAACTTTAGTAAAATATGATATTCCATCTATTGCTCCTGCTATTATATCTTTAAAAATTCTAGAAAAGCTAACAAAGATCCTATGGATGCTCTTGCACTTACACGTGCTGTTGAATCAAATCCAACGACAGAAATGAATCTTATGTTATGGAAACTAACTGTATTAATAAAAGATCATGAAACAACATTAAAATTATTTGAAAATGAACCAACAGATAATTTAGTAAGAATGTATAAAAATAAATCTTTTGATAAAGATATTCAATATACAATGGATGAATTCTTTCATAATTATGGTTGCCGTGGTATTGGAGAAATTGACATAGGTTGTAAACGATGGTTTGATGAACCACAAGTTGTTATTGAACAAATAAAAAACTATTTAAAAATTCGTAATCCAGATAAAGCTGTTGATAAAATTCATGATCAAAGTCGACAAAGTGCCTATGAAGCTTTATCAAGAATTGAAGATGAATTACGATGGCCTTTTTTTCAAAGACCATTAGTTAATGTTCTCTTTACTAGGATAAAAATTTTATTTTCATTAAGAGAGTGTCCTAAATATTATGGTATTATTCAACCATTTGGAAAATGTCGTAATGAACTTATTCGAAAAGCTAATCTAGCAGTCAATGAAAATTTTATTTCACATGCTGATGATATTTATTTTTTGTTTATTAGTGAATTAAAATCATTAGCTTATGATACTGATAATCAACAATATGATAAAAGAGATTATTGGATAAATTTAATCTTAGAACGTCGTATGGAATATAAAAAACAAATGTCTTGTAAACGAATACCATTAATCTTACTTTCTGATGGCACAACATATTATGATGCAACAACAATACCAAATGAAAATAATCAGCCTATTGAATTAATGGAAGGTGAATATCTTGGAAGTCCAGTATCTCCAGGTGTATATGAAGGAAAAGTACGAATAGTTGATGATCCAATGAATTCTCAATTACAACCTGGTGAAATCTTAGTTTGTACTGCTACTGATCCAGCATGGACATCATTATTTCCAATCATTGGTGCATTAGTATTAGAAATGGGTGGAATGCTTCAACATGGTGCTATAGTTTCAAGAGAATATGGTTTACCAGCTGTTGTTGGTGTTGCGAATGCGAAGCAAATTTTTCATAATGGTCAACGTATTCAAGTTAATGGCTCTACTGGACGAATTAAAGTTTTATTTGATGAATGATCATCTTTTTCTTTTTCTGATTGCAGTTTTATTAGAACTAGTATGACAATAAACTTGTGAATAATATTTATTTCTTCATAAGACTATGATAATGTTTACAAGAGATTATTTTAGGGAATGTTATAATTATGACAGAACGTGGGATATAAAACAGATTGTATCAATTGAGATGGCTTTGATTCGCTTATAATTATTTATTGAGACCTCACCGTCAAGAATTGATCTTCGAGCAGATATATTTAAATCGTATGAAATTTTGAGCCTCACACCATGACGTTTTCGGAAGATATGCAAAAAGCTTATTTAGGAAAATAATATGCTATGCGAGATTTCATTCTATGTACTTACTTTTTTTCTGGGAACAAAATGTCAACATTCATGCCCTTTTCTTTCCATTGATTACTTTTTAAGCGAAGAAAAACGCTCTGGACAAAACAATGAAAACATGATGCTCTAATTATGAAAGTATTTTTTTAGATCCTATTAACATAGATTACTTTAAAAATGGAATTCTGTCATGCTGTGCATCTTAGAAGGGTGTGGGTGGGGTGTGGGTGGGGTGAGGGTGTGGGTGACGGTGTGGGTGTGGGTGTGGGCGTGGGTGTGTGGTATGGGTCAGAGATGGAACCGGTAGGATTTTTTCCTTACCGGTACCGGTACCGGTCTAAAGGGTCAGACCGGACCGGACCGGCCGGTAGACCGGCACAATTTTTTTACCAGCTTGTCATTCAATATATATCAAAGCATCCGATCTATTCATGTTCTTTTTTTCATAATTACTCTAGGATAGAATCAATTATTATGTTTTTATTGCTAAATCACATCTTTTCAATTTATTTCCGTCATTTTTTCTTTCCATCCAAAAAAATACTAAATTTTCAAGTAACACAAAAAAAAAAATATAAAACAAGGTAAAATTTTCTCAATCAGCCATATTCGTAATAGATTATGGCTGTTGTTCTTGATCATCGCGATTTACAAGCGCAGCACTAGTATTACATTTAGGCCACATTTTATTTACATATGCTTCACGTAATACAATTAATGATTCCACTGAACTCTCGCTCAAGCAACCTCTTTTCTCATTAACAATAACTTCACCGGCTGAAAAATGTCTTTCTAATTCAGCTGATGAAGCTTGTATAACCAAAATACGTTTAGCAATTATCGATAAAACTGGTAATCGTCTTTCATTATTTTTCCAAAATGTTAAAATCTGGTGTCGTTGATCACCATCATAGAGAATAAGGATAAGATGTGCATTAATTATTGGCACATACAATAGTCATTGTACAATTGAACATTTTCTATCAACCATTCAAATGACACTGCGAAACTTATTTATTGTTATTCTTCTTATGTGTTACTCAATGATATCGCTAGAATGAATTCTAGANAAGTTTCAGATCAAAATTCGAAAGTATAGCTTTGCTGCCAATGGGTGGGTGTGCTATAGAGAAAATTCACTGGAAGCTCGATATCTCCTCAGAAACAAGCCAGAAACCCGAACTTTGTTTACCATAGACATAGCTTACTATGGGCTACAAGATGCGCGAAACCCCAGCTGAAAAGCGCTCCTTCACCTGGGAATGTTCCCTTGTTAGCCTTTGTTCGTATATCCTAGCTCTTTCTACTCTCACCAGCTATTACAACCTAAACAAGTTTTGGAGATCCAGTTTTTTCTAATTTCGACATGTTGGCCTATGAATGTCCAGCTAAAGTAACATCACAGTCGAATATTTATGCAGCTAATTCTTTTCATTTTGTCTGTTTTTCCGTAGTTCTCTTGGTTTGAGCTCAGTATACCCAAGAATTGTAAGACAGTAAATGTCAACAATTGAAAATTGTTCTCATCTTTTGATATTCTAAGACAGTACTGTGTGCAGATTAACAACGCACTAGTGTATCGATTTTTGGTTCTGGTACGAGCCTTTGTTATCCTTTTATGAGCAAAATCATACACCTTTTTCAATCCTCTTTTTCCCTCCTTTTAATGCAGATAATTCGTGGGATGCAAGTTTATACAAAACATGATGAAAAAAGCATTCTGAATATCGGTAACTTTTATTCGTTTTTGTCTATTGTTTTCATGTTGAATACCACTAATTGCATATCTGGGTAATTAGAGGTCTACGAAAAATGAATACTAAACAATGAATTACAATGATATTAATATGAAATAACTGATATTATATTGAACTATGATTATATCAGAATGTATCAAATTATAATGAATGACATAATATACATCACCAATACAAAATAGTGTAAGATAAATTCATTTTTTTCAAATTAATGGAAGGAATATGACTTAAAAACTCTTAATGTCCAATGGGACTTCTAAGGATAATATTTATCGATAAGATAGACATGTCATTTGTTCTAGATGGAACAGCTTTTTTTTTGTAAATATATTATATGCATATTGTAATCAAAATACATGAAAGTAGAAAATATTTTTTTGGTTAAATAATTATTTTCTAATATCTAAGTTATTGCCTATTGAAAGAGAGATACGACAGTATGTCACCGCCTATCAAGCGGCTCCGCGACTTGACCTAGGAAGATGCTTTGCGTCTTTTATGGAGAAAGTAGTGTAGTACTTAGGAAATCCGCTATGTTCGTATGTCCCTGTCATTGTTATGTATGTCATACCTACGTTCATCACCCTACCAATTCAGAGTGGTTCGCTATGCGTATACATAGCTCAGGCTCAGGAGGTCTTTCTCGTCACGCGTAATAATGAATCGAGAAAAGCAAAAAGCGATAAATAGTAATTAAAATGAATTTATTAAGAAAACCAATTTACATCTTTTTTATATAGTCAATATTATCTAGCACTCTTTCAATAGCACGATGTCTTGGCAGTAGTGATTGTTGTCGGATAGTAAGCGCCTTTTTTAGAAATGAAATTACTTTCAAGTAATCGTCCATCTTGTCATACACCTGGCCTATGTTGTTGTAGGAAATAGCCAAATTTGAATGGTTCAGAGGGAAAGCTTTTCTGGAGATTTTATGTGATTTTTTGTAAAACTCAAGTGGTTTCAAGTCGTCACCCATGTTGTTATACATAGAACCGATGTTGCTGTAGATAGGGGCTAATATCGGATAATCTTTCGGAAGAGTTTTTCTGTATATTTCAAGTGATTTTTTGTAAAGTGAAATTGCTTCCTTGTATTGTCCTTGGCTCAGTTTCACCCATCCAAGCTGGCGATATACATATTCTTTATCACTCTCGTTGGATGTCTGTTCTAGTAGTGCGACGTAAAATGCTTCGGCGTTGTCAAATTGACTCATCATAAGCAGCAATTGACCCATTCGATACCATCTAGTCCCTCGAACCTCGTGTCGTATACGATCGTTTAATTGACGGAGTTGTTGGTCATCATCTGATGTAAGTTTAAGATCTGCTTTATAAAGTGAACAATTCCTGTCGAATTTTCGAATGTCATCAAATCGAAAAAGTCTGCCCATGGAGAAGAGAAATTCCTCTTCTTCCTTGTAATAACTCTCTTCCTGGATGAAGGCAAAGGGAGCTGATGAGAATATAGGATCGATGGTCGTCTGAAAGATGATATCCACCATACCAGTCGTTCCTAAGACTCGGTTGGCGAAATCGGGGGATATTCCTCGATTTTTACTGGTGGATAAAAAATTATTGAACGATAATAGTTCACTTTTCTTCTTTGCACGTTTTTCTAGGTCAATTGTCAATAATCCTTGACCTCGATAAAATAAAAAGGTCTTCCTGTGATACTGACTGACCTGTTTCTTGTGTAAATGTTCGATTTTTCGATGAAAATCGCATAGAAAAAATCCCACTCGCACGATAATGTCGCCACCTAGTGTTTGTAATGCTCGATTGAGCATTTTGCAGATGAAACACTCACGTGTACGCCACCAAATAGTCTTTGATGGTTGATAGGTGCGTTCGAATTCTTCAAATATCTTTGTTTCTTGGGCATTGCTATGATATTCTTCTTGGTAAAACTTGATAAAGTCTTCGATGCCCTGTTGGCCATGTTTCATATCAAGGAGACTTTTCTTGAATAGTTGTGAGCATATGAAGGTCGGTTCTAGCTGATTGAGATTTTCGCTAGAACCTTCTTCATTTACATCAATAATGCTTACCGGCATGATGTTTAGGTTGCATTGCTTAATGGCCATTTTCAATGCATCACATATGGGCTTGATTATAGTATGCACACCTTTGATTTTCGTCCAGTTTTTGGCCCATGCTTCATGAAGTTGTTTGTTGGCACAAAAAGTGTAAATGGCATCAAGTTTCAGCATACTATGAATGTCTGGTATGATTTGTTGTCCCAGTGAACCAGAGGAGATAACGAATGAGGTCTTCTCACTATTTTCCTTCAGCAATTGGACACATTGTTCCGCAGTGGTACAAAGATTGATTTGGCTGACAACACCGTGCAATTCTGAGAGTGTATGCTGGCAGTCTTCATTTGTTAGATCAATGTTTCTATCGACCCAAATGACCAAATAGTTTTCAGTCATGCGGTCTCTTCGTAGCATGACTGTCGATAAGGCTGCTGTACTTGCAGTGGTACCCATTGTTAATTTGGAAATAGTTTCTTTGGAGTTTGTTTTATCCATATTGCATATAACTTGCTGTTAGATCGATAATTGAGTGTCGTCAATAGTAGACTGTGATTTGAACAGAGATCACCTTTCCTATTTATAAATTCGGTGCCCATTGCTGTTTTTTCCTAGATATCTCTACAGCGTCAAATATGGGTATTTTTTTGCTGCTGCTAAAGATAAGCATCACCTAGTTTATCTTGAGAGAATATACGTGTCAACAACAAATGAAACAGAAAAATCCAACAACGTCGTATATTTTATGATTATTCTTTCCCACTTTTGCTTGGTTTTTTGTAGCATGGCCTTTTATTGTCTTCATGACACAAGGTTGATAATTCAAGATAAGAAGAAATTTAGAACCATTAAAAAGGTGATTACAATAAGATTGCAAGCAAAACGATACAGGGATAGAAAATGAGGGTATCTCTTATGACCTGTATCTTCTTCAGATACAGTCATACGATTTTTTCCGTCTTTATCTATAGGATTATAGATGTGCAATTATGTTCTTCTTCTTTTCTCTTATTGTTTAATCATATGCTATAGGCTTTTTCCTTGTCTGTCATATATGTTGGATTTTTTTCTCTTTTCTTCTGTTCTCCTTTCTTTGGCGTTGTTATATAGGGCGTGGGTGTGGACATGAGTGCGGGTATGAGTATAGATGTGGCTGTATGCTAGTGTGGAGGTGTGAATGGGTCTCGTTATAGGTGAGTCTGAGGTGTGGATTGAAATGGGTGAGTATGGTTCTAGGTATATGTGGATGTATGTATCGTGCAGGTGGGTGTGAGAGTCTCTGTAACTATCAGTGTTAAGATGAAACAGACACAGACATCCACACCATTTCTCAATTGGTTCAACTATTGGCACAAATATTTGGTCATGACATGTGATGAAAGCTTCGGTACAATCAGCCTTCGGCCATCCAGGCTTTCACCGTGCTGATGAACCACGTTAAATTCAGTATCAATTGATAGGTTTGATCGATTGTTATTGAGCACAGATAGTTTCGAAAGTAATCAAACTGTTGGACCAAAGATTTGGTGTTGACATGTTTTGAAATCCTCAATAGCACCAATTTTCTGTCACTGAGACTTTCCACATGCCAATGAACAAGGTCATATTTGGTCACAAACGGTATATGTCATCGAGACTTGTCTGGTACAAATAATTTCTGAGTCAACATAACTATTGGAACGAATATTTGGTAATGCCATATGTTGAAATCCTCCGTCTCACTACTTTTTGGCTATCTAGACGTCAACCATTGCGATGAAGACGGTTGAATTTGCTACCAATTGATTGCTCTCATTGAACTTTATTTGGCACAGATGGCTTATCAATTTGCACAGGTTTTGGAACGAATTTGTTTTTGTACAATTTCTGGTTTTTTAGTAAAAACAGGATTGGAAAAGTGTTATTATAATTTTTAAGCAGGTCTTCGCAATAGAAGTTTTTCAAAAGGTATACATCTGAAAGTAGATTTGGTGCACCATCTGTGGGACAAGTACTACTCTTTTTGGCGCAAGTCTGTTGGTAAATATTTTCACAAAAAAATTGAATATCCTAACTCTATTAATGCATTAAAAAATATGATGAAAAGCTTACATATTCAAAGTATCAATATTACTGGGGGTACAGTTGCCATCTTTATGTACCATTCCTAGGAGAGGAGCGCTGAAGTACGGCA